GAGAGAGAGAGAGAGAGAGAGAGAGAGAGAGAGAGAGAGAGAGAGAGAGTGTGTGTGTGTGTGTGTCAGGATTTGACCTAATGACCTTGGATTGCCACTCAATGGTCTATGTATAACAAGGGCTTAGACTCTTCACTTTTTCCTGAAAATAAATATCCAGTGGGTAGCTAAAATCAGAATTAAAGATTTGGCCTCTCTACCTCCATTTGCATCTATCTCCTTTGCTCTGAACCCCCTTGGATTCCAAGAACAAGGGACTTGTCAGATAAATATCCTGAACGGACACTTCCACCCCTCCCCAAGCCTAGGCAACAGCAATTTTTGTAATCTGGGATAAAGCCTCACCTGACCAGTGTTGAGATGGTAATGGAGAGACCACACTGATCAAGATCACCTGTTTTGTTGCCATGAAAATCCTCTAGTTATGCAACCCCCAATCCTTACCTTCTGTCTCCTTTCTATAAGACTTGAAAGGCATTGTCAGTGCCTCCAAGACAGGGTTAAGGACATGGGTCCCCTTGTCTTCCAGTGTAGCTGCACTGATTAAAGTTCCTTTCATGATTTTCACCATTACCTTTTTTGTTTCTTTTTTGAGGTGAGTTGCTAGACCCAATTTGTTCAATCCCCAGAGTCAGGCCTCTGCCTGACTTCATAACATAAGCAGTGAAAGCAAGGCAGAGAAAAAAAGGAAAAAGAATGTATTTTTTTAATGATATATTGACAAATACACTTCAATGATACCATAATATGGTAAATTTACCTACTTGTTGTTATACATTTTATTTTATGTTGATATTTTATTTATTACATATTTTAGCATTGAATGCTGATCAAGACATCCATAATGTTTCCCCAAGCTTGACAAAGCTTTAGATAGGCTTCTTTTGCCTCTAGGGCTCCTGACCTCCTCCTTATCCTGGCCCTTGCAGATTCCAGATGGCCTTAACCATAGGAGTCCCTGACCCCTTTTCCTTAGAGCATTTATTTTAGAAAACTTGTAATTATGAATCCTTTCTCTCCTCCTTTGAGTTGCTAATTTTTTGAAAAAGATGCTGCCTATTGCCCTAGTCCTTTAAAAAATTCCCCTTGCCCAATGAACTTTGTCCAGAACAATTTTTCTTTTGATAGTACTAAAGTTTGCCATTACCTTGCCAGAAGAAAAAGATTTTCTGTTATTTGATAATCTGATAACACTTTTATTAAAATTTCTACCAACAAACATGCAATATCTTCATTTTTTGTTTATTGATAATCACTAGTTGTCAGAAATTGGTGCTTTTATAGAAAAATGTACGTGCACCCATTTTATATACATATGTTAATATGATTTTATCTCTATGTTTAAGAGGTACATTTAAATTCTATTCAAGGATTCACAATTGAAATCTTGAAGAGTTGTAACTTTCATTTCTGCTGTTAAGAAGTTTTGGGTGCAAGATATAAACTCAATACATATTGGTAATTGAATGAATCAGAAATTGTTTATTAGAATTATATTTATCTCAACTTCTCCTTCTGTGTCTTTGGATGTCAGATATCTTCAGTTGCCCAGAGCAAATAAAGTAGATATGAAAGGTTTAATTAAGCTGATATCAGTACCTATTTTATCATTTATGTTGTATTTCAATGTTTTGGAACATATCACATTGATCATTTCTAATAATCTGAAGAAGTTCAAATACTAGCAGTTTTGGGGTAGATGTTGAAACACATCTTTTACAGACGGTTTAACCAGACTTGAAAAGTGATACTTCTGTAACTGAACTGTAACTTGATTCCTAACCTGTTTTTAGCCAACAATAACAGAACTGGAAAAGGGAAGTTTATTAATAAAGCTCTCTTAACTTTGAATTTGTTGCCCTGAAACTCAGTATTTTTCTGTTGTTTTGAAACCTTGCTTCAGGGAACCAAAAACAAAAACCAAAAAATCAACCAACAACAAAAATGTAGAACTAAGTATTTCAAGCTTATCTCAGAATTACTTCCTCTTAATTTTGAAAAACATGAAATGGGGGGACTCTGCTTCAAGGAAGAAAGCATGCCCTTTCTGTTTAGTATGGACACTCACAAGTCTGGGAAAGGACAGACATGCTTAGTTCTTGTGGATTTTTCTAGATACAACATTGAGACAAAAAAAAAAAACCTCAAATTGCAGTTTCTTTTCATATTTAAATACCTCATATGCTTAGTCAAATCCCCAGGTACCTTCATAATTTTTTTATTATTAGAGATTGATTTTTTAAAGCATAATTCCCGTTTCTTTGAAGATGAACTTAGAGAAGAAATGAACAGAGGGAAGTGTGTATTAAGATAGAGTGTCTGACAGTGCATTATTACAGTTTTCTCTTGTGTATTTCTTATCACAGAAAGGAAGCTGAATCTGTTTTGCTGGTAAATAACCCAAACATTAAGACTCAACATCCCAGTGCTGCAGGATGCCCCTGCTTACTATAAATGCATTTCCCTTCCACCACAGACTATTTCCTGGGGGCACAATTTATTAGTTCTATTTGTTCCATAAAGTGTATTCTTTCCTCTGGAGCATCCATGAGAAAGGTAGGGATTATAGTTTCCTGTTATACAAATGATTGATCAAGATCAGTTTATACCCACATGGAGAATGACATCAACCATTTAAAATAAAAACTTGCTAATTTATGATAGTAAGAATGAGAGTCTGTTTCCTTTTTGCAAAGAGCATGATATTTCATATATTTTGTGACATGGGATTAGACATAGAAATTGTCTCCATCATGAGCATTTAGGGAATTGATGATAATTTTCATCTATTCATGCTAGCACATATTTTACTAATAACATTGTAATAGACCAACTGTTTACCTCCGAACACATACAGGAAATTTTATGGCAGGCATTAAGGATTAACTTGTCTTCCAGAGGTGACTTTTATCCAACAAATACATTTTAATTGAGTG